AAATAAATACATTGTCTGAAATAAAAAATATTATACAGATTCCTAAAAACAGAATGGAAGATCGCAAGAATCAAGTCGAAGAATTGGAACATAAAGAGGGAGTATTATTTTAGATCTGTGATCTTTTTTTTTCTTGATGAGTCTCATTAAATGTTTGTCAATCTTGTTTATCTTTTCTAAAAATCAACTCTTATTTTCATTGATCTTTTGTATTGCTTTTGAAAACTATTTCATTTATTTCTGCTCTGATCTTTATTATTTCCTTCCTTCTACTCACTCTGGACTGTCTGTTGTTCGTTTTCAAGTTCCTTTAAGTGTGAAATTAGATTGTTCCTTTTGAGCTTTTTCTTATTTCCTGAAATAATCCTATAATGCTATGAATTTCCTTCTCAGAACTACTTTCCCTTGGTTCCACAGATTTTGGGTTGTTGTGTCCTTGTTTTCATTTGTTTTAAGGTATCCTTTTATTTCTTTCTTGATCTCATTGTTAACCCATTCATTGTATAATACCATGTTATTTAGCCTCCATGTCTTTGTGTAAGTTTTCCAGTTTTCTTCTTGTGATTGATTTCAAGTTTCATAGCATTATGGTCAGAGAAGATGGTTGATATCATTTCGATCTTCTTAAATTTATTGAGATTGTGTCCATCAAGATTTGCTTTAGTATTAGATGCTCCTATGTTGGGTCGATAAATGTTTATAAATCTCGTTGGATTGCTTTCTTTATCCTTATATATAATGTCCTTCTTTGTATCTTGTATGGCCTTTGTTTTAAAGTCTGTTTTGTCAGATGTAAGGATTTCTATCCCAGCTTTTTTCCCTTTCTTTTTGCTTGAAATACCTTTTTACATCCCTTTGCTTTTACTCTGGGTGCATATTTTGTTCTGACGTGTGTTTTATCCATTTACCTACCTTATGTCTTTTGATTAGAACATTTAATCCATTTACATTTAAAGTGATTATTGATACTTACATATTTATTGCCATTTTATTTTTTAACTATGTTCTTCTGTTATTGTTGTTCTTCTTCTTCCTTCTTTCATCAAGTCCTTAACATTTCTTGAATTTTAGTTTGTTAGTAATAAACTCCTTTAGCTTTTTCTTGTATTTGAAGCTCTTTACTTCTCTGAAATTGAATGATAGCCTTGTTGAGTAAAGTAGCCTTGGTTATAGGTACTTGGAGGTACTTGGTTTTCATCTTTTTTTTTTTAATAGGAGAATTTTATTTTTGTAACACTGAGAGCTATCAATGAATAAAGGATCTATGCGCGCGCGACCCCCTCCTCTCCCCCCCATTGCTGGATCCTTAAGTAGGCCAAAGTAGAAATAACAAAAGTTGATAGTTGCATTTCCACATTATACCACAAGATGGAAGCATGCAACTGACTAACCTTAATGGTGATGGTGGTGGGGTATTTTCACCATAAATAGAATAATAGAAACCCTTCCATTTCATATTAAGGTTTCAAGTTAGAGTTTTGGTAACTCACTTCAAAAATGTGTTATTTTAAACCCAACTTTTAATGTATTATTATAGCAGTCTAAATATTTCTTTTCTGAAATATTTTAATTTTCTCCATTCTAACTTTCTCCAAATAACTCTTATGATCCAATTAAGAACCTTTCAATACTCTCTGAAGTCCAGGAAGTATCCCAGGCACAACACAAACATTGACCTATCTGTCTTTGTGGCGTAGTTATTTTTCCCCATTTTACAGATGAGAAACATTGAAGAAAAAAAGATCCATGTTCCATACAAGGGACTCTACTCACTAGACATTACTCATTCCCTGGGCAGCTGGAGTCTCCAGGAAGTCCTTGGTTGTATATGTGTGAGGGGGTGTATCCTGAGACATACTGGTCTTATTTTCCTTTGTTATCTACCAATTAACAGCTTACATGCTGAATCCTCAAACCCTGAGCAACTGCAGAGCATTACTAATTGGCAGGAGTACACTTACCGCTATTAATGCCTTTATCTTACATGTAGTACCAGGACATAGTGAATGTGTATTAAGTCATACAACAAAAACATGCAGAACTCTTTGCTGTGTAATATTAAAAACAATACTGAAATCTGTATAAATGCATATCTTCAAGGTTTTCTTACATCATTTGTACTCCTATCTTGCTTTTCATATTTTTCTTGGTCATAAGCCATTTTCTTCATCAATTTCTATATTGTTTTTAATATTTCTTAAGATTTTTGGTGTTTTGCTTCCTCACTGGTTGACAAGAAACTTGGGAATTGTCCACAGAAATTTTTGACAAGTGCATGGTATTAGCTGTACCAGCTACTACTACAAATTCTTGAACTTTAAATACAGTGCTTGACACATGAAAAGGTTGGGGGCCATGACCATTGCTACATTTATGACAATCTGTCTATTACTCTTCGGACAAATTCAAACAGGGCCTTCAGTGTGTCTTGATTTGAATCCCGCTGAAAGATGATGAGAAGGTTCAAAGCCTGTAGTTGTTGCTTCTTGATTGGAACAATCTGGATAGCCTGGAAGGCTTTGAGGTATTCTACATGAGCAGTGGCTGGGGCAGCTCACAGATGAACAGCTTTAGCAGACTGGCTGCATCAGTCTGCTTGACAGTGTCCCAGTTAGAAGTCCCTTCATAAAACTGCTTCTAGGGCTTGGCAAAGATTTTTTTATTCTAATGACAGCTCCAGGTCATCGTTGTCATTTTCATCTCCTCCTCCCCCTTCTACTCCTCCTTCTCCCCCTCCCCCTCCTTCCCCCTCCTCCTCCTCTTCTCCTCCTCCCCTTCCTCCTTCTCCTCCTCCTCTTCCTCCTCCTCTTCCTCCTCTTCCTCTTCCTCCTCCTCTTCCTCCTCCTCCTTCAGGTATTCTTAAGAGGCCATCAGTTTCCAAACATCCCTCTTCAATTAGAAAAATCAGTTTTTGTAATATCAAGGATGTTTGAATTCCTAATACATTCCTGTGATCTTGTTCTAACAATACTGTCAGTGGAACACAAAAAAGGGTCAGAATCTTTTGTTTCAATCTTCATAGCTTTTTGTTGTTTAATTTCAATACCCAGTACATCATAGAGGGTGGTCAGTTTAATCAAGGCTAAATAGCAAAGTTTCCTCATATCCCGGACAGCGAGATTACCAATTCTGGTGGTACCTGTTTTGTCTTTTGGCAGTCTGAAATTAGGTAATGGGGCATTGTTGCCTTTGCTTTTCTGGTTCCTATCCTGGAGCTCTTTCTGATTTGCGGCTTGCTCTGCAAGTGATACCTCCAGGTTGATAACTGTTTCAGAGGCAGGTGTCTCCTCAGACACCAGTGGCATCAGCTTCTTTCACCAACAACTAGGCTAGATGCCTGGTCATCTTTTCCTTGGTATTTGTTTTTACTTATTCTAACTGACCATGATTCACTGTCACCTGGAGCTTTTTCTTTTGACTCTGCCCTCTAAGCAAATATGTTTCTGACGTCAGAAATGTGGTACTGTTTGTTCTTTTTCCATAAAGTCTGGCAGATAGTCTCTACCCATTTCTGAATAGCTGCTGCATGGTTTGGGTTAATGTTGATAAAAACACCATGCTTTCTTGGGGATCTCCAGCAGACTTTCCAAAGACATTTAGACAAACCAACCTCCTTCAGCCACTCTTCTAATTCACTCACATCAGGCTCTATGACAACCACCACCTCTTGATCTTGTCTGTTCTCACTAGATTTCTTGATATTGTCTATTTCATTCCAATAGTCTTTCTTAGATAGTTCATCCATGGGAACTTGATCAATGAAATGGAGGCTTCTCCTTAGCTTTGGTGATTTCTTGGTTCATACTGGCCATATCTGCTACTGTAACCAGACATCTCGCAGATATGTTATCTTAGAGGCAAAAAAGGCAAATGGGCTCAGTAAAGAAGATCTAAGTTGATCTTTGTCAGGGAAAATATTGGCCTAGGACATGACTACCCCCTATAACCTGTTTGTAGTTAAATATTTAATTTTCAAACCATCTTTTGTGGTTATTTTAGGTCTCAAATGCCAATAATTAAATTTTCCTAGTAGACTTCTCTCAGATATTCTTTAGTAACCCAAAATTTTAAATGTCCTTTGAAAAATACTCATCATCTTTCCCCTTCTTTATTTTAAACTTACCTATGTCTTTATTATTCAGTATTTCTAGACAGTCACTTTAAGTAATAGCAGCTTCTTTGATTCTCTTTTATGAAGATATTTCATATTGAATTAGTCTTCAAGTTCCAGGAGTTCCTTCTGAGTTTCTTTCACATGTGTTTTTTCCATTCTGTTCTATGCTATTTGGGTTTAGGGCTTCATTGTCTCTCACCTAAATGGCTTCCTAGCTGTTTATCTTTGGTGTCTTCTGTCTTTATTCTAATTATTTGTGTGTGTTTTTGCTCTGACTCACACACATATATTGTTTTCATGTTAAGAAGACCAAAACTCAAGTTTTACAAACTGATCTTGTTCTCAAAGAGAGCAGGGATCAGTTCTTATTTTTCTTTTTAGCTGTACTACCCTTCTTTATACCTGGCACAAAGTAGGCCTATGTTGAATGAAAGTGGATACTGTGTTTGAATCTTTATCTACTATCTTAAAAATTCTGGTTGTTGTTCTTTTACTGTTTAATTTTGATATTTTTAAGTCTACCAAGTAACTGGAAGCATTAAAGATCTTGTGTGTTAAAATATTAAATTAAAAAAGAGTTAATTACTCTTTTAAATAAGCTTTGTATTTTTTTTTTCTGTCAAAAATGAAGTGGCTGCTCATTGGTAGGTCCAAGCAAATTTTATATAGTGTATTATTATAATATAAATGCCAGTTTTTCTGACAATAAAATAATAATTAGTAGTAGTATTATTGCTATTTTAGTTTAGATTGCAGGAAACTTGATATTATGTAATTTTAGTAGAGTGATTTGTTTGACTAAACCAAGACAATACTATATATATATATTTATTAAACCTGATACTAATCTGCTTATTATTTAAAAATACTTCTAATTTTCCTTTAGGACCAGTTTGGACAACATATAAAATCAGATGTGCATTTGAATTTTTATGTTTATTATGGTCCTGATCGTATTAGAGACCCGGCTTTGCTTTCAAAACAGGATATTGTTTTGACTACTTACAATATTTTAACTCACGACTATGGAGTAAGTATACTGATATTCAGAGATTTTCAAAAGTTTAAGAAATATACTTCAGGTTTCTGAAGTGTTCTAAAATTTAAGCTTCATATTCTTTCTTTTTTTCTTTCTAAATACTTAAGAATATACAATAAATAAACAGGAATTTGTGTTTTAATATTATGCAAAAGAAATGGTTAGCCTTTAGATATTAAGGTAGAAATACTTCTATTTAGGACACTTCAAGTTAAATTTTAAATTTGAATTTAAACTAAGTCTACATAACAATTTGTAAATAAATTTTCTTTTAACTATTCTAGAATATTATTTTCTATCACAATGATAAAAATAAGCTTTTTCATAGCTGAAATTTGTGTTTCCCAATTTATGTAGAAGTCTAATTGTTGTTTGCCTATATAATTCCAGCTTTTAAGTTAAAATGTTTTTGAAAATAATTTATTTCTTAAGATTTTCAGTCTTTTTAAAATTATTAAATATATTTTTTATTGATTTCAGAGAGGAAGAGAGAGATGGAAACATCAGTGATGAGAGAGAATCATTGATTGGATGCCTCCTGTACAGCTCCTGCATTTAGTATCTGCCCCCTGGTGGTCAGTGCATGTCATAGTGACCAGTTGTTCCACAGTTCAGTTGATTTGCATATTACCCTTTTATTATATAGGATTTTAATCTGAGGAAGAGTACTTCATTGTACTGGACCAAGATCAAAGCTGATCAAGCCTGGTTTGATTACCTGGCTTTGAATGCTAGCTCTTTTACTTCTAGCTGTGGTACTTTGAACAATATACTTCACATCTTGGTGCTTCAATTTTCTCATCTGTAAAAAAACAGTAATAATACTTCATAAACTTGTGAACGTTCATTAATTTAATGTATGCAATACTTAAAGCCATACCTATCACATAGTAAGTTGATATTGAGAATACTAATTCATTTCACTTATCAAATTACATAAACTACTATTTTACTTTCCAATGTTTTTAATTCATATGAAACATTTATTTCAGATGAAAGGTGATAGTCCATTACATAGCATAAGGTGGCTAAGAGTGATCCTGGATGAAGGACATGCCATACGAAATCCAAATGCTCAGCAGACTAAAGCTGTACTTTATTTAGAAGCAGACAGAAAATGGGTATTGACAGGTAATGATAGCATTACACTTTTAAAAAACTTAATTCCCAAATATGTATCAGTGAAGTAACTTTGTAAACTTCAAGTGGATATAAAGACTATTCCGATATTAATCCTAGCAATCATTTAATAAAATATTTGACTTGTTTAGTTTATGAGACAACTAGACTTATTCTTGAACTGTGGACATTCATTAGACACTTTAATCCTTTAATTAGAATCTTGATTTCTCTACTTGCCATTTTGGAGTCTGTTTTACTAGAGGATGGGGAAGAAAATATGAACTCTTATTAGATTTTGCTTTCTTGCTAGTGCTATTGATTAAAGTAAGCAATGAATTGGAAGAATTACCATCATTAAATGTCCAAACTACCCAAAGCAATCTGTAGATTTGGCAATCCCTTTTAAAATACCAATGGTTTATTTCCCAGATCTAGAACAAATACTCCAAAATTTTATATGGAACCTAAAAAGACACCGAATAACTGCAGCAATCTGGAGAAAGAAGAAGGAAGTTGAGGGATCACAATATTGGATATTAGGTTATACTACAAAGCCATTGTAATCAGAACAGCCTGGCACTAGCACAAGAACAGGCATATAGATCAATGAGACAGAACCGAGAACCAGAAATCTACCCAAGCCATTATGCTCAATTAACATTTCATAAAGGAGGCAAGAGCATACAATGGAATAAAGACAGTCTCTTCAATAAATGATGTTGGGATAATTGGGCAGGTAAATGCAAAAAAATGAAACTAGACAACCAACTTAAACCAGGCACAATAATAAGCTCAAAATGGATAAAAGTCTTAAATGTAAGTCATAAAATCATAAAAATCTTAGAAGAAAACCTGGGCAGCAAAACATCAGATACCTCACAGAGCAGAAATTTCATTGGTATATCTTCTAGGGCAAGAAAAACAAAGGAAAAAAACAAAAACAAATGGGACTCCATTAAACTAAAAACTTTCTGCACAGCAAAAGAAACCACCATGAAAATGAAAAGGGAACCAACTGTATGGGAGAACATATTTGCCAATGATACATTGATAAGGGATTAATATCCAAAATATAGAAAGTATTATACTTACACAATTCAACAAAAAGAAGACTAACAATCCAATAAAAAAAAAAAAAAATGGGCAGAGGACCTGAACGGACACTTTTCCAAAAAAGACGTACAGTTGGCCAGGAGATATGAAAAATGTTCAAAGTCACTAATCATCAGAGATACAAATTAAAATGACAATGAGGTATCACCTCACACCTGCCAGAATGGCTACCATCAATAAATCAACAAGTGACAAGTGCTGGTGAGGATGTGGAGATAAAGGAGCTCTAGTACACTGCTGATGGGAATGCAGACTGGTACAGCCACTATGGAAAACAGTGGAGTTTCCTCAAAAGTAAAAATGAAACTGCCATTTGATACAGTGATCCCACTTCTAGGAATATATACTAAGAATCCTGAAATGCCAATCAGAAAGAATGTATGCACCTTGTCTTCATAGCAGTACTAATTAAAATAGCTAAGATCTGCAAACGCCCTAAGTGCCCATCAGCAGATGAGTGGAAAAAAAGCTGTGGTACATTTACACAGTGGAATGCTATGTAGCTGTAAGAAAGAAGGTTCTGTTTCCTTTTGAAACAACATGGAGGGACCTGACCATTATCATGTTAAGAAAAATAAACCAGTCAGAGAAAAATAAATATTATATGATCTCACTTTGGAATCTAATGAACAAAATAAACTGATAACTAAAATAGAACCAGAGTCATGGAAACATGGAGCAGACTGACAAATCTCAGAGGGAAGGGGTTCTAAGAAAGATTAACCAAAAAATTTATATGTATACTAGAGGCCCAATGCATGAAATTTGTGCACAGGAGGGGGGAAGGTCCCCTCAGCCCAGCCTGCACCCTCTCCAATCTGTGACCCCTTGGGGGATATCCGACTGCCAGTGTAGATCTCAGAGATCAGGCCTAAACTGGCAGACATCCCTCTCACAATTCTGGCTCCTAACCGCTCACCTGCCTGCTGGCCTGATTGCCCCCCAACTATTGCCCCTCACCCCCGCCATCATGGTTGCCCCTAACAGCCTCTCTTCCCCCGTCCCCTGCCGGCCTTGTCACCCCTAACTGCCTGTCCCGCTGACCTGGTTGCTCCTAAACCCCCTCTACCAGCCTAGTCACCCCTAACTGTCCGTCCCCCCTATCCCCCCCAGCCAGGTTCCCAACTATCCCCCTGCCAGCCTGGGTACCCCACACAACTGCTGTTTAGTTGTTTGGTCGCCCCTCACTGTACCCCCTGGTCACCCCACGCAGCCTGTTCAGTCATCCATTCAGTTGTATTGGTTGTGACAGTCGCTTAGGATTTTATATATATAGATATGCATAACCCATGGACATAGACAATAGGGTGGTGAAGCCCTGGTGCAGCCTGGGAACTGGGTGGAGGGGAGTAATGGAGGGAAAAAAAAGGTATGACATCTCTAATACTCTCAATAGTAAAGATTGTTTAAAAAGTCAAGGAAATTTCCTGGGTAAGGAGAAAGTTGAGTTTAGTGGGTCTGTAGTCTTTATTTTATTTGTTAATATGGTAAATGAGAGCTAAAAATTAGAGCAAACTATTTAAAAATATATATTTTATTGATTTTATACAGAGAGGAAAGGAGAGAGATAGTTATAAACATCTATGAGAGAGTTATCGATCAGCTGCTGCTTGCACACCCCTTACTGGGGATATGCCCGCAACCAAGGTACATGCCCTTGACCGGAATCGAATCCGGGACCTTTCAGTCCCCAAGCCGACGCTCTATCCATTGAGCCAAACCGGTTTCGGCACAAACTGTATTTTAAGATTACGTATAAGAAGGGATTATAGTCACAGGTTGATGGTGGGTGCGCCTGGTACAGAGTGTCCATTTTCAGCTATTGTCTCTATTCAGCTAGATAGATATACTGATTGGATATTTTGGTTATCAAATTGTTAACTATTTCATGTTATTTTTAGGTACTCCAATTCAGAATTCTTTAAAGGACTTGTGGTCTCTTCTTTCCTTTTTAAAACTAAAACCATTCCTTGATAGAGAGTGGTGGCATAGAACAATTCAGCGACCTGTCACAATGGGAGATGAAGGAGGACTTAGGTAAATAATTTCATGACAACTGATTAGTTACAAAAAACTGTTAGCAGCTTGAACCAATTTTTATTTTCATTACTATTTAAGTTGGCTATTGGCTTTAACCTCCAAAAAGTGTTACTGCTTTATGTTTCAGAACTTAGTGATTCTTGTTTGGGGAGATAAAGATTTAAGTAGTGATAGGAAAAACTTTACAGGCTCTGAGGGTCCAAAATGCACTCAAATTTCTTAACTTATCTTGTATAGCTTTATACAGTGGTAATTTAATGATGGAATGATGTACAGTGGCATCAACAAGAGTTTTATAAGAGAAAGTTGTTATTGGTGGAGATAGGTAAAAGTTAAGAACATAAATAAAATTCAGCTTGGAAACAGCCATTTTTACAATGTACTGGGCTAATGTATTTTAACTTTTTTTGCCTAGAATATTGGTTTTCAAACTGAGGGTTTGGATTCTCTAGCTGTTTATGAAATTACTTAAAAAAAAAAAGGGGGGGGCAGCCATCATTATAAAAGAAAATGAATAGAGTAGAAGATTAAAGAAAAAAGCAGAGTGCATCACATGATATTTTGTAGAATGTTTGTTTCTGTTGTATGTGTTTGTTTATATGTTTGCTGAGTGTTTCTTACTCTGGGTTTTAGTGAAAAAAGTTAAAAACCCACTAACCTAGCTTGTAATACCATCTCTTTGATTCCTTCAACTCAGGTATTTAAATTTTAATTTAAGAAATGGTATTTATATTTCAGTGTTAGGAAAAACCTTTTTAAAAATAAATTGACATGCCTCCTTTTATTCTGATACTGAAAGGGGGAGTTTCAAATTATAGAACCTATAAGGCATTTGTCCCTCTTCTGGGTTGTTACATTGTGTGTGGTTTTTTTTTCATTACTTTATAAAATTTATTTATGTACCTTGATTTCTGTGTTACTAAAATACTTTTTGAAGATGTATATTTTTACGATATTTAGTATAATTCCCTTTACTTAATAGATGTTTATTAACAATGTGAATATTGAATATGGGTGATATAGCTAAAGAATTGAGAAGTAAAAGGGTTAGAAACTAGAACAAAAATGGGAGAAGAGCAGAAATTTTAAAATGTGTGAATTAGGACAAATTTCAATGTATTTGTTGCTGAATTTTCTGTTTGTAGAATATATCTGTGATAATCGGATAAAAGCGCAAGTAAGAGACTAAAAAAAATCCTTTGCTAAGATTATAAAATGGTAATAGCTTAAAATATTCTTTTTTGGTCTTATTGCATCAACTTATATAGAAATAACAAATTATGTAATTATTTGTTTTATTTTCTAGGCGTTTACAGTCCCTAATTAAAAATATTACACTTAGAAGAACAAAGACAAGCAAAATTAAAGGAAAACCTGTTTTGGAGTTACCAGAACGTAAAGTATTTATTCAGCATATTACACTTTCAGATGAAGAGAGAAAGATTTATCAGTCTGTGAAAAATGAAGGCAGAGATACTATTGGAAGGTATGGAGAAAACCATTTTGGAAAATAAATTTTTTTTTCTTCCAATTTAACTGACTAGCATTCTTAAGATATGTCAGCAATAAACTCTGAAATATACTGAAAGATAAACTGCTTTCTTTAACTGTATTTTAACTACTTTTTACAAATTAATAATTGAAGTGAGTGAATATTATAATTTAACAGGTTATTTCTTTTTTATTGTTTATTGATTTTAGAGATAGAGAGAGAAATATTAATGTGTTGTTCCAATTTTTTATGCATTCATTGGTTGATTTTTGTGGATCAGGAGTACGCTCTAACCAAATGAGCTACCAGGTCAAGGCTTTTTTTGTTTAAATTAATTTTTTAATTGATTGAAGAATTTCTTAAGTTAGGAAAAAATTCAAAGTTTACTTGAAAAAGCAAGTTTTGATTGCTTCCTTCTACTTCTGACTGTCTCATGGGAGTAGATAAAACATTGAGAGAAGTATGTATATAAGGAAAGTAAACCTATTAAGGACCAAAACTTGGGGGATGCTGAAGCCAGTTTGGCTCAGTGGTAGAGCCTTGGTCTGCGGACTGAAAGGTCATAGGTTCGATTCCGGTCAAGGGCATGTACGTAGGTTGCGGGCACATCCCCGGTAGGGGGTGTGCAAGAGGCAGCTGGTCGATGTTTCTCTCTCATGGACGTTTCTAGCTCCCTATCTCTCTCCCTTCCTCTCTGTAAAAAATCAATAAAATATATTAAAAAAAAAAAAAAAACTTGGGGGATTGTCCACATTCAAGAAATTAATTAATTAATTAATTAAAAAAAAAAGAAATATTTTAGCAAGTGGAGAACTGTGAAGAAAGAAAACTGTTCCAACATTTTACAAAAGAGGAGAATTAAGAAAGAATGGTCAGTAGTGTCACAGTACAGACATTTGGAAAAGGCTATTTAATATGGTGATTCAGAAATTACTGGTGTAAAATCTCAGAGTAGTTTCACTAGAATAATGAATTAAGTAGTTAAACTGTAGGACTAAGGACACTGCAAAGAAGTAGCTGTAGGGGTAGACAATTTTTTACAAAGTGTGTAAAAGTGAGACTGGTAGATAGGATCAGTATTTGTTTTATGGATCAATTATTTTGATAGTTTTGTTTGGTAACTGTCTTGAGAGGAAATGAACGTAGAAAAGATTACAGGTACAGAAGAGAATAAAGCAAATTAATGGAGAAAAATGAAGCCTGGGGTGGTAAATACTAAATAGAATATTTAAGAGCCCTAACCAGCTTGGCTCAGTGGATAGAGCATCAGCCTGCAGACTGAAGGGTCCCAGGTTCAATTCTGGTCAAGGACATGTACCTTGGTTGTGGGCACATCCCCAGTAAGGGAGTGTGCAGGAGGCAGCTGATTGATGTTTCTCTCTCATCGATGTTTCTGACTCTTTTCCTTTCTGTAAAAAAAAAATCAATAAAACATATTAGAAAAAAAAGAATATTAAGAGAGTAATCATTGAGCTGTAAAAACAAGATATTTATGAGATAAGGCATCATAAAAAAAAGTAAGGTTTTTAGAGTGGTAGAAAGGCTTCATGTGGTATTTTCTTTTTCTTTTTTTTTATAATTGATTTTTTACAGAGAGGAAGAGGAGAGAGGGATAGAGAGCTAGAAACATCGATGAGAGAGAATCATCAATCAGCTGCCTCTTGCACACCCCTCACCGGGGATGTGCCCGCAACCAAGGTACGTGCCCTTGACCGGAATCGAACCTGGGACCTTTCAGTCTGCAGGCCGACGTTCTATCCACTGAGCCAAACCGGCTAAGGCTCATGTGGTATTTTCTAATAACATGTGGAAATCTGAGAATAGGAGTTCGCCAAGTAGATTAAGGGGTTGGAGATTGAAGAATCTGAGAAATTCTAGTCCAAGCAAGAGCATGGTTGATTTAAGTGTCTGTAGGAACCAGAATGAGTAGGAGACAAGTGAAGGCAAAACAGGGCTCAGAAAACAGGGGAATCTTCAAAACATAAAGAGTTTAGGTGAGTAATAAGGTGGGTTTAATAGGAATTAGAGATATTAAGAAAGATTGTTCTAAGCAGGAGGTTTCAAAGCAGATTTCAAAGTAAAGAGGCACAGCGGTTAGATAAAGTGTATTGTATCACACAGCTAGTGAATGACAAGAGTGGTATTTAAGCTCAGGAATTTTGGGTCTAGAGCTTATAAGTTTAATCTTTATAATATACTGCCTTACATTCTTGACTACTTATAAGTATTCGTTCCCATAATATTACTGTTACTTGTAACAGCAGATATTTTATATCACTTACCTACCATAGTCAGTATTCTAAGTACTCTGCATTTATTAACTTTTTATGACAACAGTCCTATAAGGTGTGTATTATTATTATTATTATGCCACTATTACAGCCAAGGAAGCTCACGACAGGTTAAGAAACCTGCTCAAGGTTTTGCCCTGGCCAGGTGACAAATGATTGGAGAATCTAAAAAATAATAATAATAATTTTTTAAAAAAATCAATAAATAAACTAAGATAAAAATAAAAAGGAACCAAAACATGCCCAAAGTTCATAGTTAAATTGGCAGAGTAAGGTTTTGAATTCAAGACAAGCTTACTTTGAGTCTGTGATCTAATCATTAGGCTAACTTTCTTTTCCTTTTTCTAATTTTAAAAGTATATTTTCTATTGATTTCAGAGAGGCAGGCAGAGAGAGAGAGAGAGAGTTAGAAACATCAATGATGAGAATCATTGATCAGCTGCCTCCTTCACACCCCACACTGGAACTCTCTTGCTCTTTGCTGTTTGTGACTTAATAGATGAATGTTTTGAATTTTTTTCTGAATTATCTATTATATTTGCTAGAGATTCATATGAATGGGGACAGGGTCAAAGCTGAGACCAAACTAGAAGGAAATGTCTCTATTTAGTTATGATTCAGGGTTACATGTTAGTTCTTCTAGGTTTTATTTGTTCTTATATAACAGATCAGAAGCTTTAAGGTTTCTAATAGTGCGAATGCTGTGTTCATAGTCTTTTCTGTGTGTTTCCTTATTCAGCTTACCTTCAATCCTTCTTGGTGTAAAACTTGTCCAGGGAAATTCAAGCCACTAGTTATGTACCTGGTTTTTGTTTTTGCACATTAGAGAAGTTTATTTCACCCCAGGGCATGTGGTCTATTTTGAATTGTGCTTGGAAGGTCTGTTGAAAGCTGCAGTCATGTCATTCAGCATCTTCCTATCTGACTTACACTACAGTTGGCAGCTATTTCTCCTATATTTTGTGTGTTTGTTGTTGTTGTTATAAACTTTTACTGGTTTCATTAAAAATAGTTTACTTTTCTGTTTTTATTTCTTGTTTTGATGTAATTTCTGGAGAATGGAACAATGCAATTTTTATTCCACTGTTTTAGAATAGGAAACATTGTCATATTTAACATTTTTACCTGTAGGTATTTTAATGAAGGGACTGTCCTTGCTCACTATGCAGATGTCCTGGGTCTTCTGCTCAGATTGCGGCAGATCTGTTGTCATGCTCACCTTCTTACCAATACCGTGTCTTCTAGTGTTCCCTCAGGTAAGTAAATAGGGCTTTTTTACACCATTTTATTTGTTAGAGATTTTTAAATCAGAAGGAGAAATTTTTCTTTATTTATTTATTTATTTATTTATTTATTAATTTTTTACATATTTTAATGATTTTTTTTGGAGAAATTTTTCATATACCTAAATTTAGTTTGTCATAGACATTTTTTTTTTTAATCAATCTTTATTGTTTATATTATTACAAAGGTTCCTCATTTCTTCCCCCTCTCCACCAGGTTCCCACCCCACCCTCCGCCCCCTCCCCACTCCCCATTGTCCTCATCCATAGATGCACAGTTTATGTTCAGTCTCTTCCCGCACCAACCACTCCCCCTTTCTCCGAGAACTGTCAGTCCACTCCCCTCCCATATCGCTGACTCTACTACAATCAACAGCTAATATTCATCAGGTTTTTCAATCTCCTTTTGTTGTTGTTGTTGTTGTTGTTGTTTTTAATTAATAAACTTTTACACTTCTAAGAATAAATTTTAAAATCTAATAATTTTAAACCTTGTTTTTTCTGCCCTGGGAATTGAGAAGCAAACTTGTTTACATGTAAACTTGCCCTTAGGCTATCAAAAGGTGTAGCCATTCAAATGTAAATGAACACATTGTTTAAAGATAGCTGCTGGTTGGAATTGGATTACCTGTTCTGGGTGGGAAGGGCTTGTCCTCCCCTTTCTCCATTAAAATTAAGGTTTTAGCTTTAAAACCTCTTTTTGGCAAGAGACCTTAAACTTTCAGAACTTAAAATTTTTCAGATAGTAAATCAGTTACTTAGCATTTTCTCAAATCAAATAATACCTCCACATGCCCAAGGATACACTTCACACACAAGACATTTCCAAATAGATCAACCAACCTCATCCAGACCCCATACAAGGCACTCACAGATCAACACCCCAGCGCTATACTAACTCAACACATCCAGATCTAAGCCTTCATCACTTGATTCAGCAGACCCTCATGTTCCCCCAAAAGTTTCCAGCCATGTCTGAGAGGCAGCCCTGGGGCGAGGGCAGGCAAGGAGTGAGCTGTTCCGGGCCTGGCTGCTCTGGGCCTGGCCTCTGTTGCTCTGGTTCGCTCCACAACCAGCTGCTCCGGCTCTGGCCACTGCCGCTCCCGGCCTGGCTCCTGCTGCTCCAGGCCTGGCTGCTCCTGATCCGGTTGCTCTGGGCCCGGCTGCTCCGGGCCCGGCCGCTTCGGGCCTGGCCACTCCCGACCTGGTTGATTCGGGCTTGGTTGCTAATGCTCTGGGCCTGGCTGCTCCCGACCTGGTTGCTCTAGGCCTGGCCGCTTCCAACCTGGCTGCTCCGGGCTTGGTTGCTGCTGCTCTGAACCTGGCTGCTTCCGACTCGGCTGCTCTGGGCCTGGCTGCTTCGGGCGCGGCAGCTTCGGGCCTGGCCGCTCCCGGCCTGGCTGCTCCGAGCCTGGCCGCTCCCGACCTGGCCGCTCCGGGCTTGGTTGCTGCTACTCTGGGCCTGGCTGCTTCGGGCCCGGCCGCTTTGGGCCTGGCTGCTCCCGACCCGGCTGCTCTGAGCCTGGCCACTCTCGACCTGGCCGCTCCGGGCTTGTTTGCTGCTGCTCTGGGCCTGGCTGCTCCCAACCTGGCTGCTCTGTGCCCGGCTGCTCTGGGCCCGGCCGCTCTGGGCCCGGCCGTTCCCGGCCTGGCTGCTGCTGCTCCGGGCCTGGCTGCTCCTGACCCGGCTGCTCTGGGCCCAGCCGCTCCAGGCCTGGCCGCTCCTGGCCTGGATGCTCCGAGTTTTGTTGCTGCTGCTCTGGGCCTGGGTGCTCCTGGCCTGGCCACCCTGGGCTTGGCCACCTCCACCCCAGGCCTGGCTGCCACTGTCCCAGGTCTGGCTGCTCCGGGCCTGGCTGCTGCTGCTCTGGTTCTGGCTGCTACTGCTCTGGGGCCTGGTTGCTGCTGCTCCGGGCCCAGCTGCCACTGCCTTGTGCCTCGCCACTCCTGGCCTGGCTGCTGCCGTTCCAACCTTCTGCCCTTTTTTTTTTTAACGCATTTATGTTGCAATGTTGGCTGCTGAGTTGAGTTCTGTCTTAGTCTTCGATTTTTCAAGATCTTCTTTGTATTCTTTCTTAAGTAATTTTACTGTCTTTTGCTATAACTTGATTTCTTCACATTGAAAACTTCTTTGGTTTCTTCCTCCTCATCCTGGAAGCTCAGCAGGTTGGCCTGTGGTACCCCTTTGTTCTTCGTGGCCTCCTGCGAGGCTTCAGCCTATTGCCAGGGTCAGCGCCGCCCAGGAAGCAGCCCCCGGCCTCGGCTCCATGGCCTGCGATCAGCATTCGAGGGCCCAGTGGCACCCTCCCCTCTCCCCCCCGCCGGGGGCCCCGTTGCCCAGCTCCTTGCCGGCGCCCGGCTGGCCGGTGCCGGGCAGCGGCTCCTGCTCCTCATCGCGTTCCTCCCAGTCTGGAGCTTTTTTCTCCTTCCCACTAGGGGAGTCTAGCATCAGAGTCAACAGACTGTCCTTTGCGCGCAATGTGCGTGACTCCAGGGGCTCTGCCCCTCGCCACTCCCCTGGGATTCCACCTCACAGCCCAGGCTCCCTCTGTTTGAGCCTGGGTCCCCAGGGATTGGCCTAGAACTGGGGTTCAGAGCAGTCGGAACTGGGGCCCAGCACGTCCGGAGCTCTTGTTTCCTTCCCGACAGGGCAATCCATAATCAGAGTCAACATTCCATCCTCTGTGTGCAATGTGCGCGACTCCGCGGGCTCCGCTTTTCAACGCTCCCCTGGGATTCCGCCTCACAGCCCCGTCTCCCCCTGCCTGAGCCTGGGTCCCCAGGGTCTGGCCTAGAACTGGGGCTCAGTGCTGCCGGTTCTGGGGTTCAGCCCAGTCCGGGGCTTTTATTTCCTTCTTGCTAGGGAACGCCAGCCAGGCACCTAGCCGCGCCCTCCTCTTCTGCTCCGTCCTCTCCATGCGTGCCGCATGTTTCCATACCTTAGGCTTTTTCAGCTCCTCTGATTTTCCTTCTGGTTTTCTCTTTCCTTCTTGTTGTAGAATTTTCAGTCAGTCGACTACCTGTAGCTCTGGGCAATGTCCATTTTATATTTTAGTTGTTTTCCATTGAAATTGTTGTGTGCGGCTGCGGTTAGGTGTTTACCTGTGCAGCCATCTTGGATCCTCCCTTCTGTGACTCTCCACCGACATTGTTTTTAATATAGAACTCAACTGGAAATATATCCCAAAATCTTATACTAATGAAATGGGATAGTAATGAGTTCTTCCAAGTATTCCACATTGATATTCTTGGACCTAGCTTTTATTCTGTGGTAGTATGTGCAGATTGTGTTAGAACTATGCTTCTGTGCAAGGTGTATTATGTGAGTTGGCTACTATTTTAGATTCTGAATTTTGCTTAAAACTTCACATTTAAACTATGCTTTTTACCTTTAATAGAAAAAGACTAAAACTACCAAAGCAAAACTTTCTCCTATATAAGGAAAATTAACTTATCTTGTCATGTTACAGATTTGCTCTGAAATTAATTTTTCAGCCTTTTCTCTAGGAAATGATACACCTGAAGAACTACAAAAGAAGTTAATAAGAAAGATGAAGTTAATTCTGAGCTCAGGTTCCGATGAAGAATGTGCAATCTGCTTGGATTCATTAACAGTTCCTGTCATAACACATTGTGCACACGTCTTCTGTAAACCCTGTATTTGCCAACTCATCCAGAATGAGCAGGTTTGTTTTATGCTTCATACAGAGTCAGTGTTTAATGGAGTGACACATTAGTTTTGAGTGTAATGGAAGCTCAAGTCCATTAGACTATAAGAGTTTTGCACTTGAATTTACTAATGTACTTTTCATGGTTAATTATATCATTGCTTTAATAGGTGATATATTTCTTATAATTAAAACCTTTCAACCTAAAAAGACATTATATGTTTGGTGGCATAACTGTTTACATTATTGTTGTGCAATAAATAAATAATGTGAGATGCAAAGGTAATTTTCATGTTTTTTAGTAGAAATGGATGAAGTTAACTCTTAGAATATATTTTTATTTATTATATCTAAAATATAAAAATTATTGCAATACTTTATATATTTTTTACTTAAAACTTTATTAATAAAATTTAAGTGCAAGTTCCAGTAATATTGTATGCACGTATAGCACATCTAAATTTGACTTTGTCACATTTCAAAGTCTCAGCTGCTACATTTAGCTATTGCCTATGGCATTATGTGCAGTAGGATTTTTTGAAGTGAAATAATCCTTTAAGCAGTCCTTCAACTGAGATAGAATTTTGAAAAACAACTTTGATGTGTAACATACATATAGAAAAATATGTACAAGTCATGATTGTACAGCTCAGTAAATTATGAGTGAACACATCCATGTAAATGCTACCGAGGTCTCCTTATGTTCCTCCCAATCCTTTACATCTCCCTCCTCCTTACAGGTGATCCAGCTGTGCTGACTCTCACATTGTTTTAGTTTCAGAATCTTCTTTTATTATAATGATATTTGGTATGTAGTTATTTAAGAAATAATCTTATTTTATTATCGTGTCTTGGGACAAATAGACACAACAGATACTACTTTGAATGAACCATTAGGATTTAACAGATCGAGACTGGCTCTCCAAGCCATTAAGGAGGAAAAATTTTTTCCTTCTAAATAGTTCAAACTGGTATTCTATATTGTAGTTAGGTTGAAGAAACTGTTACTTATGTGTTTGTTTTTTTTAGTTTTTTTTTACTTGTCTGCAGCTAGTATATCATTTATTGTTTCAAGTTCTTAATGTTAGTCAAGATCACATATTTTTACTTTTATTCTCTTCTTTTCTAATCCCACTGACTACATTAGAATATTACTATCAGCCTGGAGTCCAGTATGTATGGATTTGTGTCATGGGTGAATCTGATAAAAGGCTTAATAAGATGCTAGCTAAATTTGTATTTCTGCACCTCTGATAAGTGTCACTCATATTTTCTTTCTTTTGTAGCCACATGCTAAATGTCCTTTATGCAGAAATGATATACATGGAGACAATTTATTAGAGTGTCCTCCAGAAGAACTGGCATGTGATACTGAGAAAAAATCTAACATGGAATGGACATCCAGCTCGAAGGTAAAATATTTTTGGTTATTTGTTTATGTTAACGTAAAGAAAAACCATATATAAAACTAATAATTATCCTTTTAATTCTGTCATTTGAATATTAAGCTTTTTGGTGACTACTGGCTTTTTTATTTCTAGTGGTGATTTTCAGAGGAAAGAGTAAGGTTTCAGTTTATGAAGTATTCTTTCAGTCTTTTTTTTTTAATTCTTTCAGTCTTAATTTTTAAAATTGGTGGTCTTCTACTTTTTTCATTTTAGGGGAAATAACATAACACTTTTCTCTTCATAATAAAAAAATTTGGATATGTTTTGCCAATTCAAAATGGAACCTAATGGGTGTCCAAATTTTTTTCAGATCAATGCCCTAATGCACGCATTGATTGACTTAAGAAAGAAGAACCCCACCATAAAGAGTTTAGTTGTTTCTCAGTTTACAACGTTTCTGACTTTAATAGAAACACCACTTAGGTAAGTTTAACAGTGTTCCTCAATTTCAATAAAGGATTTTTATATATGTTTTGATTCGGATATCAAAAAATACTTATGTTTTATCAGTTTTTTTCATTCATCTATCTAAAATAAATTTCAGAATCACAATAAAGAATATTTCTGAGTGCATGGGATTTTATAGATTAAGTCTGAATTTATTGGAAAAAAATTGACTGCAGAGCCTTACAATGTAGTAGATGGTTAGTAAATATTTGTCAAAATAAATAAAGAGAATTAGTTGAATAAATACATTGTAATTACTTTGCATGTTTTTATAGTATAAGAAGTGTTATTTCTCTCTTTTGTCCCCTCCTTTAGAACCTCTGGATTTGTGTTTACTCGTTTGGATGGTTCAATGGCCCAAAAGAAAAGAGTTGAATCAATTCAGTGTTTTCAAAACACTGAGGCAGGATCTCCAACTGTAATGCTCCTATCCTTAAAAGCAGGTGGAGTTGGTTTGAATCTTTCTGCAGCTTCTCGAGTGTTTTTAATGGACCCAGTAAGTAATTTTGTAGACTTTTGTTGTTATTACTTATATTGAAAAAAGAACAAAAACTATTTGGTAAATACATATCCTATATAATATCCTACATAATAAAAATGTAATATGCAAATGGTCGTTACGATGTAAAGTGTAATGACTGACTATTTAAGGAGCCGATCACAGGTCAGCAGGAGGGTGGGGCAGCAAGCTACAAGCAGGAGGCGGAGAGCTACAGGAGGTGGTAGGACAGCAAACTGAGGAGGGGGGTGGGGAGAGCTACAGCAGGGTGGGGCTGCAAGCTACTGACAAACTATTGGTGCACAGATTCGTGTGCAAGGCTACTGGTGTAGTTTATAATTGATTGTGAAAATTCCTTAGGCAAACTTTAGAAATAAATAATAACTTTCCAAGTTAGATTACAATCAGAGCTATATTTAGGCATTCAAGGGTTTCACATTAATATCATGGATGGCAGTGGTCTGTTGTATTTTCTTGCCTTAGTTCTATGAATGAAGTTTTAAATCTCTGTTATAATTTTATTACTTTATGGTTATACTAGAGGCCTGGTGCATGAAATTTGTGCACTAGGGGATGGGGTGGGGGGTGTCCCTTAGGCCAACCTGCACCCTCTCCAATCTGGGGCCCCTCGGGGAATGTCTGACTGCCTGGCAGTCAGACATCTCTTTCACAATCTGGGACTGCTGGCTCCCAATTGCTTGCCTGCCTGATCACCGCTTCTGCCTGCCTCTAACCACTTCTGCCTGCCAGCCTGATCACCAGCTAACCCCTCCCCTGCCAGCCTGATCGATGTCTAACTGCTCCCCTGCCAGCCTGATTGAAGCCCAACTGTTCCCCTGGCAGCCTAGTCATCCCCATCTGCCATCCCCTGACAGCCCAGTCAACCCTAAATGCCCTCCCTGCATATTCCCTTTATTAGATAGGGTTTTTTTCTTTAACATATTGGACAGTGTACTGCCGTGGTCTTGACAAACCAATAAAAATGTAAACCCAAATTAAAAGTTACGTAAAATAAACTCCTTAAACAGGAATTTCATGAGACTTTGGAAAGGTGATATCATGTGGTTGCTTCTTCCTTTTTTCCTTCTCTTTCTCTTTCCTTTAAAAAATATATATATATTTTATTGATTTTTTACAGAGAGGGATAGAGAGTTAGTAACATCAATGAGAGAGAAACATTGATCAGCTGCCTCCTGCACACCCCCTACTGGAGTTGTACCCACAACCAAGGTACATGCCCTTGACTGGAATCGAACCTGGGACCTTTCAGTCCACAAGCCTACGCTCTATCCACCGGTTTCGGCTTTCTTTTTCTTGATGTTTTATCTTTTGTCCTTTTCTCCTTTTATTCTTTTTCTGCCCTCTCTTTCTCTTAACTTTTCTGTTGGTAGAATCATCAGTACTTGAATCTGTCTTGCTTCCAGAAGACAAAGAAGAAAGAAACACACCGTCATCGGAAGAAAAAGATGATCTATGTTGGGATCAGTGGTGTTTCTGGTTTTGCTCTTTTTCTGGTTCTTTCTGCCAGCCCCAGCATCTTCATGACTTGTGCGTGGGCACGTCTACAAAACCTCCCTGCCTTGGTGAAAACTATAGGAGAAAAGGCCTTTCTGGGTGGTCTCGAGCCCTGCTCAAAGTGCTGAGGAACCAGGGTGGGGAGCACCTACCTCCAGACCTCGGGGAACTCTCCAGTAATGTAACTGCAATGTCCCCATTTGCCATCAGAAATTAGTTGTAAGTTACTTCCAATGTGAAACCCTACCTCAGACATTTCCTTTGTGGTTTCTAAAGATTTTAACCCATTTACCTCCCTAATCTAGTCAGAGATTTCTCAGTCTGTTGCATGCTTCTATGTCTCTGGATCTTTAGATTCCACATGAGAGAGATCATGTGATACATGTCTTTCTCTAACTTGCTTATTTTGCTTAGCATAATACTCTCCAGGTCCCTTCATGCTGTCTATAGTTTAAATTTAAAATTTAATGTTCTCTACTCTGACAATTCATGCTATTATTTAATACTACTAGTCTTCTATCTTTCTAGTTTACTGTTGAAACCTTCCATTGTGTTTTCTTTTTCTTTTTTAAATTTAAATTTATTTTTGTTTAAAGTAGTACATGAGACTCCTTTTTCCTCCATTTCTCCCTGGACCCTCCCCCCCCCCCAGCACATGCCCTCACCCCCCTACTGTCTGTGTCCATTTGTTATGCTCATATGGATGCATATAAGTCCTTTGGTTGATCTTTACTTCCTCATCAAAGGTTGGACAGTTTGTTGCATGCTTTTATGTCTTTTGTTCTATTTCTGTTCATCAATTTATGTTCATTATATACCAAAAAGGAGTGATATCATGTGATATTTATCTTTCTCTGACTGGCTTACTACTTTGCTTAGCATAATGCTCTCCAATTCCATCCATGCTGTTGCAAATGGTAAGAATTCCTTCTTTTTTATAGGAGCATAATATTCCACTGTGTAGATATACCACAGTCTTTTAAACCACTCATCTACTGATTGGCATTAGGGTTGTTTCCAAATTTTAACTATTGTAAATTGTGTTGCTATAAACATGGGATGTATATATCCTTTCTGATTTCTTGGGATATATTCCTAGAAGTAGGATTACTGGGTCAAATGGAAGTTCCATTTTTAATTTTTTGTAGAAACTCCATACTGTTTTCCACACTGGCTTGCACCAGTCTGCATTCCCACCAGCAGTGCAAGAGTGTTACTTTTTTTAAAAATATTTTTTTTATTGATTTTTTTTTTTTACAGAGAGGAAGGGAAAGGGATAGAGAGAAATATCGATGAGAGAGAAATATCAATCAGCCACCTCCTGCACACCCCCTACCGGGGATGTGCCTGCAACCAAGGTACATGACCTTGACCGGAATCAAACCCGGGACCATTCAGTCTGAAGGCTGACGCTCTATCCACTGAGCCAAACAGGTTATGGCAAGAGGGTTCCTTTTTCTCCACATCCTCACCAGCACTTGTCATTTATTGATTTGTTGATGATAGCCATTCTGACAGGTATGGGATGGTACCTTATTGTTGTTTCTATTTGTATCTCTTGGATGATTAGATACTTTGAGCATTTTTCATGTCTCTTGATCTTCGGTATGTCCTCTTTCGAAAATGTCTATTTAGGTGCTTTGCCCTTTTTATTTATTTATTTATTTATTTATTTATTTATTTATTAAAAAATATATTTTATTGATTTTGTACAGAGAGGAAGGGAGAGAGATAGAGAGTTAGAAACATCGAAGAGAGAGTGTCATCGATCAGCTGCCTCTTGCACATCCCCCACCCGGGACCCTTCAGTCCCCAAGCTGACGCTCTATCCATTGAGCCAAACCGGTCTTGGCTGCTTTGCCCTTTTTAGAAATATATATATTTTATTGATTTTTTACAGAGAGGAAGGGAGAGGGATAGAAAATTAGAAACATTGATGAGAGAGAAACATCCACCAGCTGCCTCCTGCATGCTCCCTACTGAGGATGTGCCTGCAACCAAGGTATATGCCCTTGATTGGAATCAAAGCTGGGACCTTTCAGTTCCTAAGCAGACGCTCTATCCACTGAGCCATACCAGTTAGGGCCCTTTGCCCATTTTTTTTTTTTATTGTTTATCTTTCTTTTGTTAAGTTTATGAGTTCCCTATAAATTTTGGAGATAATATTAGCAAATATGTTTTCCCATGCAGTAGCTTTCTTGTTGTTTTGTTGATGGTTTCTTTTGCTGTACAGAAGCTTTTTATTTTGATGTAGTCTCATTTGTTTATTTTCTCCTTAGCTTCCATTCTCCTAGGAGCTGTACTTACTGGTAAACACATTGCTATGTCATATGTCTGATATTTTGCTACCTATGTATTCTAAAATTTTTATGGTTTCCGTCTTACGTTTAAGTCCTTTATCCTATATTTAGTTTATTTTTTGTGCATGGTGTAAGTTGGTGGTCTAGTTCCTTTTTTTTTGTATGTATCTGTCCAATTTTTCCAGCACAATTTATTGAAGAGACTGTCTTGATTGCATTGCATGCTCTTGCCTCCTTTGTCAAATATTAATTGAGCATAATGGCTTGGGTCAATTTCTGGATTCTCTGGTCTGTTCCATTGGTCTATATTTCTCTTCTTGTACCAGTACCGGGAGTTTTGAGAACAGTGGCTTTGTAATATAGCTTGATGTCTGGTATTTTGATCTCTCAAACTTTGTATATCTTTCTCAAGATTGCTGCAGCTATTCAGGGTCTTTTTTTATTCCAGATGAATTTTTGGAGAATTTGTTCTAGGACTTTGAAATATGCCATTGGTATTTTAATGGGGATTGCATTGAATTTATAGATTGCTTTGGTTAGTATGAATATTTTAATGATGTGTTTCTACCAATCCATAAACACAGTAAGTATATTCTTCCATTTGTTTATATTTTCCTCTATCTCTTTTTTTAGCATCCTGTAATTTTCTGAGTACAGGTCCTTTACCTCCTTGGTTAAGTTTATTCCTAGGTATCTTAATTTTGTTGTTGCAATAGTAATTGGATTGTCTTTTTAATTTCTCTTTCTGTAGTTCACTATTGGTGTATTATAAAGGCCATAAATTTTGAAGTTTTAATTTTGTATCCTGCTACATTGCCAAAATCATTGGTTATGACTAGTAGTTTTTTTGATGGAATCTTTAGGGTTTTCTATATACAATAGCATCTCATCTGTGAATGATAATTATACTTCTTTTCCAATTTGGATGCCTTTTATTTCTTCTTCTTTTCTGATCTATGGCTAGCACTTCCAGTACTATGTCGAACATTATTGGTGAAAGTAGGCATCCATTCTTAGGGGAAATGGTTTTAGTTTTTGCCCATTGAGTATGATGTTGACTGTAGGTTTGTCATATAAGGCTTTTATTATTTTGAGGTATGATCCCTATATTCCCACTTTGCTGAGAGTTTTTATCAGGAAAGTATGTTGGATTTTGTCAAATACCTTTTCTGCATCCATTGA